TAATGAATAGAAATCTACACAATAATGACACTAGCCTAAATAGTTACATGTCAGAGAATGCCGATATAACACGTAATGTGGGCCATATTGTTGGTCCTGAGTTATTATCGAAGAAATACAAAGACAGAGAAATAATGAATATTGATCCACCAAGACCTCAACGCCCTGATATAATTGAGCGTGAAGTAGTTGGAAAAAGTCCAGCGCTTAGAGAGGATCACCACCCACCTCCACCACCATCAACAAATACGTCACACCACACACACGATCATCCTAGTGGTATGGACCTGAATTCAGAAGTACCAGAACATTACGACCTAGAAAATGCTAGTTCAATAGCACCATCTGACATAGATATTGTTTATCATTATAAAGGTTTTAGAGAAGCAGCAGGTGTTCGCAAATACAAAGCTACCCCACCACCTATCGCTGGCTATCATCATAAGCATCAAACTCCACAACATCGCCACTCGCCACATCATCCAAGTGGATATCCATCTCGTGTACCGCAAGCAGCACAACCTCCTCCTCAGCCAAGGCAACATCAAACAACTCCACTTGCACGATTATCTCCTAGCAGTGAACTCAGTCAACAACCTAGAATATTGACTCTTCATGATATATCTGGTAAACCGCTGCAGAGTGCTTTGTTAGCCACAACTTCAAGTTCTGGAGGTGTTGGTAAAGATGCTCTGCACAGTAACAGCGAGAGAAGTTTGAACAGTCCCGTTATGTCACAGCTAAGCGGGCAAAGCTCTTCAGCGGGAAGGAAAACACCTAGTGCGCCTCCACAAGTTCCACAAGTGGTGTCTGTTGGCTCTGGCGCTGTGGGACTAACAGCAGAAGAAATAGAAAGAATGAATGCAAGACAGCGCACTTCTAGCTTAGTTTCAACATTAGATGCCGTGTCAAGTTCAAGCGAAGCGCCTCGAGGAGGAGGTGTTGGTCATCATATGTCGCATAGGCATCATTCACCTCCAGATGACAATAGAAGTTCTACTGGCTCAGATGACGAAAGTGGAAACGACAGCTTTACCTGTTCAGAGATAGAATATGACAATAATAGTATAAATGCTGATAAATTAGAAGATGTCAGAAGACAAAATGTTAGCAGCGGTAGCAATCCCAAGAAACCTATATTACCACCACCGTACGAAAGCTTTGATTCCTCATTTCGTGGCTCGCTGAGCACTCTAGTCGCATCTGATGATGATTTAGCTCCACATGTTAGTTCCGCACTTTATCGACAGGCGAATGGTTCCCCGGCGTCGGCAGCACTTGGTTGGGGACCTGCTGCTCTGGACCTATTTAACTGGGGGCCGAATTTTGAAAGTATGATTGATGTCTTTAAAGATATAGCTGAATTACCAGACTCTGTGAATGGGAGAATGTCTTCCTCTCTAAGACTGCAGAACGGCACCCCCAAGCCGTCAGAAGAATACGTTTAATGATAGTTAGAATGTAAATAGTACTAAATAATTGTTTAAGGTTTTGTAAAATAATTGTTGTGACCTTGTATCAAGGTCTCTATATTTTCTTGCCATATATTGTTTATATGTTTTCATGAATAATTAATTGTGTGTCTCATAAATGTACCTAATAACAAAAGCAGAGTTTATTGGAAACAAGTATTGTAAATGTACAGATTAATTTCTTATGTAGTACTGACTGATGTATTCATATCAGGTATATTGTGAATTGTTGAAAATAATAAATGTGACACACTAGTAGTAGGTATATAATGAGTGACGGTGTTGTTTATCGTTATTTGGAGTTTGTAATGGAAACCAATGTGTTTTGAAATGACAACTGTAAAGTGAAATGTTGTGTATACTTTGATTACATCCACGTCGGTTTATTATAGCTTCAAATTGAAAAAACCTCATTGTAAATAGTGTTTGTAAATACTTTTATTTTTAGAATTATATAATATCTTTCATGTAAATATGAACAGTGAAATATTTTAGAATCAAATCACACAAAATTATTAAAGCTCTGACTGAATGGATAATGATGTGTAACCATTTCATGTAAATAATATAAATACGCTTATTTAATGGAATTAAATAAATCCATGTGATAATGTCTGTATGTACTCATATACATATTTAAGTGTTTGTTGTCAGTTTTTCAATATTAGATGATAATGTAAAACGGTCAGAGCCTTACTTTTCCGTTATTGATTGTACCGCCATATTATTTAGTAAAGTGCCAAATGACTTTAAATAATTTTAAATAACTGACTGATTTCATAAATAAAACGTAATTTAAAAATAAGTTTCTTTTATTTTAATCGATACAAGATACATCACGCATGCTTACCTACCTACATGGATTTAAAAATTAAACAAAGAAGGATTTCTTAAAATAGTGAAGTTGTAAAGAAGTAAGGAAGACGTTTCATTGGAGCGACAATTAGTGTAATAATAATATAACACTTAACAAATACTCTGTGAAAATATTATGGCATAAACACAAAGGCACACCATACAGATAGTACATCTCTATACTATATAGTATAGACACTATACGCTAGGAGGCCGAACCTCCTGTCCACGGTCCTCTGAGTGACTTATATTGTAACTTGACGTATGCATGCAGTAGTAAATAGTAGTGGATAACGCCTTAAACTACAGTACCTAACTGTTTGTTACAAAAATTAAAAACATGAATACCTAAATAATGTGTGACTAGAAAAACCAGTGTTTATAAATTCATAAAAATGCACAACAAACAAAATGGCCTAAAGTTGGTGTTATTTTTAGATACAAATAAAAACAAGGTTGTTTACGGTTCTGAATGCAAAAGCAAATAGTACCTACGTAGGTAAACCAAAAACAACAATGCCCTTAATTCACTATCAGCACACTTTTCAACAGTAATAACGTACTTATAATGAAAACACAGCAAAATACACCAAACCAAGATAAGATGATAATGCATGCTTGTTCCCTTACGACAATTTCAATGTTATTTACATAATAATTTGGAACAGTGAAGCTGAAGAGCCTCTTCTTGAAATCATTTTTTGTAGCTATTTTTTTCATTAAGCATAATGTAATGGCTTAACGAGCAGACGGATGACCTAATGGTAAGCAATCGGTGTCGCCCGGAACACCAGACGCGTTACGCTTGTAACTCATTTGCGTTGAAAATTCAGGGATGGAGGGTAATCAGGCCTCCGATAACCTTACTCACACGACGAAACACACCGCGACTGTTGTTTCACATCACTTTTCTATGAGGCTGTGGTATCACTCCTGACGAGACGGCCTACTCGTGCCGAAGTGTACTTGCTTCGGCAATACCTAACGGGTAACCGGGGCTCCGGCTCGACGTGCAGGAGAAGGAACGGGGTGGTTTTTAGTCAGTAAGAGTCTGACACTCCCTTCCGCCTCACCCAGGCGGGAGCAGTCATTCGATGATTTTCCCCCCTTAAAAAAAAAAAAAAGGTATGGCTCTCCCACATTTTGCACAGTTTGCTCGAAGTAGCCCAAAATGAAATACACAAAGGTCAATTTCATCAGTCAAGTACTAATTCATCCTTAAATCCATTATTCTACTTAATTGATTTCTTTTATGTAAACCTTAAAAGGGCCAAAGACAACCAATTGTGATGTTAAATGGGCTAGGTGAATTACAAAGATTATTTGTAGGTAAGTACGTAACAATTTTAGTGCAATTGCATTTGCATAAAGACTTAAGTTAAATATAGACAGCCAACAATATTATTATTAGTAGTGTATTAGTGACGTTATGTCAATATTCTGTGATAATATGCTAGATGCCTAATTTTTATTTTAATGTCTATCTGTTAGATTATTTTAAATCATTAGACGCGTATTTTTATTTTCTTACAGAAACGATTACTTTCGACGATATATTGATTTGAAATGTCGCGTGACGTCACTTCTATGTACATTTTATATCTACGTAGAAATGACGTTTTAGCCCCCACTCCTAAAGTTTTGTTCGTTTTATCTAGGTATTGTTTACAAAATAAAAAAAATACGTGTCTAATATTTTTTCATTACCTTACTTACGGACTAATTAGATTTTTAATTTTCATACCCTGTCATCATCCCAATTGTATGTGAGAGTGTTTGAATAAAAGTTGGCGTTTAACAAACTCACTTACTGCGTACGTTTCATTACATTATTTATAGTTTATACCAGTACTAAAATTGCTCTAGAACTATATGGAAGTCTACAAAATTTTTTGAACTGCGAAGGGTAAAGGTATAGTGTAATGAACCAAAAAGTTATATAGTATGAATGAGGCCGATATCAGGTAATAGATCAATTAATAAACATTGACATATTTTCTGGCCATGGTTGCAAGTGCAACAACTTTTATTTTAAAGGGGGAAAATCATAATATGACTCCTCTCACCGTGGCTGAGGCGAGAAGGACTCTTACTGACTAACTATTATTCCTGCTCTTGTTTCGAGCCGGAGCTCCGGTAACCGTTGTGGTTCTCCGCAGGCCCTGTCAACAATGTACTAGACCCTGAGGACAATTCCTGGATACGGCAATGAACTAGATTTATGTACAAATATGTACTATCTATTCCGATTTTATATTTCTACTTGTCTATTACCTGTAGCTCTACTAAAGATAATGATTTAAATTTTATGCACATATTAAAGTATTAATTAGTGCACATTGATTAATAATAGTAAATCACGTATGTAATTTCAGACAAAGAAAGCCAATCACTTTAGGTATACAAAGTTCAATCAACTGTGATAATTTAAATATTAACGCTCATAAATTTAAAACACGTTTTCGTAAGGATTGTTATATTTGTCGTACATCTATTGCTAGAGATTCAAATCTTAAAAATTACAATAATATAAATACTCTATCAAAAGAAAACCAATAAAGTCATTTTAGCAGGCGATAAAGTTTAACCGGTATACCTTCAGTGATAAGCCCATATCCACGCGATGTTCATAGCGACACAGTTTAGTTTTAACTTTCCGTGGAGTTGACGAAAATTTCGATACGAACAACTATCCCACGGTTTTCATTGTTTAAATCAGCTGTATGGTCGGTTATGCGTGAAGTTCGGCGGCTCAGTAAGGCACACTGCACAAGGTCTATATAAATGTGTCAGAGAGCCCTTAACGCTAGTTCGCCACTACTAATGTCATCGTCACTATGTTTTACATAGTTTTGTTTATTAACTTCATTTACATACGTGAGTATTGTAATGTAATCAACTATTCCGACGCATCATTCATGTTTTTCTGTTTCGCTTATTAAATGAGTCATTTGTTATAACATTGTTTTCTTATCATACGAAACTTGTTTTATTAATTAATTAGTAAAAATAACACTAATCGTGAAATATATTAAGTGCAAACTGTGAATTTGAAGTGATCATCTATAAATTAACATCAATATTCATTAGGTCATGTTTTATTAAAAGACAGTTTATTTAAAATTTATCATATCAATTAATCTGATACCTGAAATGATAATAGACATCGAAACGAATTCCGAGGTCATGGTCACCATAAATTACTATTGTTGGTTGATTCTAAAACTTAAAAAACTGTAACTTCGGGAGATCTGTGTGGAAGCAACATTCAGTAGACTTTATAGATAGGTACATATAAGAAAAGGAAATATTCTTCTTGTTAAAATAATGTGTTAGAAAAATATTTACAAATCTAAATAGATATTACTTACAACGTGATTAGAATTCATTTATGTCTTAATAATATGATGCACGTGGTGTCGATATTTTATTATCTGTTAAAAACTAAATAAAGGGAAAGCTAATTTATACACATATATATCGATCAGGAAAAAACAATAAAATTAGTTAATTTACGCATTAAAAATTTAACGATAATAAAACCAGTAATCTATATAATTAAAAAAATAGGTTAAGTATATATACATAAACGAAACGATCGTTCTAGAAAAATAATAAAATAATACGAAAACCTTCACGCAAAAGGAAGTTGTTTAGGTATTTACACATACTTTAACTTTCGTGAAAAAAAATCAATTAAAAGGAAATTTAGTGTAGTCAAATCTGATAGCAATATTGGTGGCACAGAAATATTTTTTTTGGATTCATAAGATATATTATTTTATGGGATAAACCGGTAACAGGGCTGACGAATCACCCGATGGTAAGTAATCGGTATGTCGATTCGATCGGTTACAAATGCGTTACCGGCCTTTTAGGGATAAAAAATTTGAGGATTGTTGGGAATTCAGGGATTGGTGAGTTTGGGAAAGGGTTGAATTGAGTCTCTAATAATAATGCATAAATGACTACCATAATATACTGCAACGAAGGGGAGGTTCAAATGAATTACTATTTACAAGTAAAGCTAGTACTATGATTGCCTTATTAGTCGATTGGTGATAAAAGCGACTCACGCGTAAGGTTTGAGGTTCGTTTTCCGGCACAAGCAACATATAATTCTGTATTATTTTTAATTGTTAATCCAAACTTCTACTCCATTTACGTAAGACTCATCATAGCTAGTGAAAAGTAAGTGTCTTTCCAGAGAACCTACTTATAGGTAAAGAGAGTGCTTATAGGTAGTACTAGGGTATGAACAAAACTAATAAAAGCATGGTAAATATACTGGATGCCTTTGTTAAGTTTTCTCCGATGCAGTAGAAATCTTGGACAGAATACTTGTATACTTAATAAATATTAAAGTATTTTTGCAGATGTTTATCCAGTAATAGTAGCTGGATATGATTGTATAGCACCTCCATTGGAATGTCCTAACGATAATATTACATTTTGGCTCTACACTAAGTGAGTACACTACTATATACGATATCGAAAAGAAATCATTCATTTAGGCTAATCTATAGTTTAATGTTTTACGAGTATACAGGAAAAATGAAGATAAACCGCATCAATTGCTGACTATGGATGCCCATTCAATAAATGAAGCTCCCTGGGTGAAAGACGCACCGATCAAAATATTAATACACGGATATACAGGCCATAAAGATTTCTCTCCTAATACAGAGATCAGACCAGGTGAACATTTCAAATTATTTCGTAAAAGAGTTCATAAAATTATGATACCGTATCAATAGTCGGATGATGGAAAACGTGACCGCTGGGTTATCAGTTTCAGTTATCAAGGAATGGTCACCTAGGGTGCTAGGAGACGCCTTGTCGCACGAAATCGCATCGCAGCAATTCATAATCATAATCATTTATTTATTTAAGACATCAAAGGTCCACTGTGTTAGTAACAAAATACAAAAATAAAAGTACGAAACATCTTTACAAATATGTTAGTAAGCACATTAAACAGACAAAACAATACAGAAAACAAATTAATATAAATCAAATACACACACAGAAAACAGACACAATGCAGTATATTGTTGTATAATTCGCATCGTAATTTTTTGCGTTGCGAATTCGCATCGCATCGCATTGCAGTTTTGTATACGAGCCCTAAATGTATTCACATTTGATGTCATGAAAACAGTTTTAAAGTTGACTAAAATGTAGATATCTTGTCGTTTACAAAGACCCATAAAATGTACGTAAAATAGCAACAATGTCGTGTAACTCGTGCTATTGTATCTATTCTGTGTTTATCAGTACCTACAGTTACACAAACATAACTGATCTGATGAATATAAGATCTGTATTATGTTAATAAAAGGTTTGATGTTTAGAATTATTTATTTATAATTTTTATGTTTATTTAATTATTAGCATGTTTAGAAAAACAGATTCGAAATTTTTTTGTGTGATTTACAAATTCTTTTTACGGGTTTATGTTGTAAATATGTTTAATAAGGATAATTGTAATATGTGTGCATTGTGCACACTTTATCAATTACTTAACACATTTTCTTGAAACATCTTACATTTAATGTTTATTTGAATTGCCCTTTCTAAAACATATTTCAGCATACATGGGGTGCTGTAACTACAACATAATATCAGTAGACTACAACCCGATAGCTCGGGAGCCATGTTACATTGAGGCAGCAAGAAACACTGAGTTAGTGGGTATGTGTGCTGCTCAGCTGATCGACCAGCTAGTACAAAAACATGGATTCAGCCTCGCGCAGTTCCATCCAATAGGTTTCAGTCTTGGAGGACAAGTAGCAGGATTTATTGGTGATTATATCAAGTCGGGAAGAATAGAAAGACTGACAGGTAAATATTACTAAAATATTATGTAAATTACTCTAGAGTAGGTATGTAGATTCTACGACAGCAACATAATTGTTTTGCGCCTGATAAAATTTAGTCTTTACTTTTCACTCGCACAAATTGTTGTCATTCAGTTAAAGTAGGCACAGAAACTTAGTTTGTTAAAATTGAATGCATACATAATACATGTCAATAAGTTTTATGGAATAATATGTCTTAATCAAATAAAATCAATTTACTGTGTATTTTATTTCAGTATCTTTATTGTACTATCACTACATAGTATAAAACAAAGTCGATATCCGCCGTCTGTCTGTTTGTCCCTATGTATGCTTAAATCTTTAAAACTACGCAACGGATTTTGACGTGGTTTCTTTTAATAGATAGAGTAATTCTTAGGGAAGGTAATGATGATAATACATGCATATTGCACCCGTGCGAAGCCGGGGCGGGTCGCCATCAACATATACGCTATCAACGTATTGCTATCAATATAAGCATGAATAAACTGCTTCTCGTGAAATTTTCAAGGGTTCTATAACAGTAATATATAAATATCTTTTGTCACAGCATTGGACCCAGCAATGCCTCTGTTTGTCACAACTGATCCCAATAAGAAGATTGACAAAGCAGACGCGAAGTTTGTGGATGTCCTACACACAAATGCACTGGAGAAAGGGAAGCTCGAAGCCAGTGGGCATGTCGACTTCTACGCAAACGGAGGCATCACCCAGCCTGGTTGTAAGTCTACTAAAGACCAAAGTAAGTTTCCTTTTGACCATAACTTATAATCATACCTGTGGACACGTTACGCAGCACCCAAGGATTCAGTTAAACATTGTAGTAGATAATTTATAAAATTACATGTTATATTAATTTGCAGATTTAATGATGGATAATTAATAAAATATAACTATAGCGATTGAGTGTTACACATAACATTTTTTTAAGAGGAAAGGTAGATACCTACCTTATTCTGAAAAAAATTAACAAACCGACATATTTAATTCTAGCTAAATCAGGCTGCGACCATGCCAGGGCTCCTGTATATTATGCAGAGTCCATAACAACGGACGTAGGATTCTATGCAACCAAGTGCTACTCGTGGATCATATACATGATCGGCTGGTGCGAGATATTCAACCCTAACGAAGAAGTACTCTTCGGAGAATATGTTCCTACAGAGTAAGTTATTTTAATGGCGACCAATACCACCTAGTCGCCTGTACAATAATGAAGTTTTCTTTTAATACAATGTAGGATTATGTAGGATGTAATATGTATTTACTCTTCTAAATTTTGATAAAAATATGCATGCTCAAACATTAGGATTAACGTGGTCACCGGTAGATGAACAAAATGGATTTTTCGTATAGCTATCGTTGAAAAAAATGGCACAGTGTTAAAACAAATCACCTATATTATGCTATATAATCACGCAGCGGTTCCCAGACATTGACGTCGTGGGTCCATTTGTAGTATGGGTTAATAATCTTCCTAATTGGATTCTTAAGACCAACGTGAATTACTTCATTTTGTACCTATTTCGCTACAGTAACTACACATATTTTGCAAGGATAGCGAGTTGTATATTACAAAAGAGCTGTTGATAAATCAGGCTGGCATTTGAGAAATCCTACTTACTACGCGCTAGTCAAGCATATCTCTGCTAAACATCGATACTTCCATCCTTCTAAATATTATATTGGTGTACACAATTCAAGGGATAACAATGTATATAAAATTCAACTACAAAAAGAGCCAACACAAGTAAAATCTAAATATCATTACTAAATGCTGTAGTATTTATCAACGATGGTAAATATCATTCTCAAGCATTTTCCTGGTTCTATGATTAGTGCAGGCACCGAAACACTTCCACACTTTCACTGAGAATAGTTTCCCTTTTCTTTAATCCAACTTCCTTCTCGTGATGTCACATAATTATTATTACTTGCATTATGAAATTGACAACCTAACCTGTACAAAACACGACAGAGTTGACTAGTTCGATGACCTTTTTTTTCATTGCCGAAAGTAATTTTTTAAACACCATAATCGACTAACTAAATTTGATACTAGAAACGTAATCGCTTTTAAAGTGTTTTTATAAGATTGCAAACTTTTTCCTTGATCATGTCTCTCAAAAATGCAGTTATAATAGGTTCGACTTTCTCACACAAATGCAGAACCTGTCCAGTATTACATCACTTAGCAATATAATGGCATTACGCGAAGGTTTGCTCACTGAGTCAAGGAGTGTTTAATCAGATATTCAATTAAACGAGTTGGATGACGTCAAACTTTCTTTCAGGAACTAATATTTTTTAAGAATTTTATACATAGCAAATATGTATACAGCAATTGTCTTTAAATGGAATATTTTCTTTTTTCCAGTGTGCAGGGTCTATACTTCTTCAGTACAAATTCTGAATCTCCTTACGCACGCGGCTCTAACAAGAGAGGCAGAAGAAAAAGAAGTTACGATTTTAATTTAGGAGATTAAATACATCGACTGTTAAATAAATGTGTTTTTTCTTTATTCTACTTGGTTATTGTACACATTGCGGTTGGTCATGAAAAATGTATTGCCTTCGTCTAGTTTCATGAGCAAGGCTGACGTGAGGCATTAATAAAGAAGGTGCTTATCGATGTCTAATTCTCGCCAAGTAATAATTATGTTCACAAACTTGACTTTTCAAGAACATGCACTTGAAAGTTTAATGTTAACTACTAACTTGTGTAGTAAGCAAGGTAACGAATGTAGTCACTTATTTCTTCCGTGTTTCATGAATCTTGATAACCTTACACTTACCCAATCCTATGTTTATGTAAGTAAACATCTAAATTCATTAAAACAACTGTTATTACGAGCTGGTCTAGGTTGCATGTTGCTTAATATCAGTTCTGTACCAGTATCAACTGATCTGGTATCCGTGAGGGTGTGCTCCACATAAAGACCTGCGTAAAAGGTGGCACGGGTCAGTTTTCCTTGTTTTGTGTCCGTGTAATAAAACAAGACGGTCCAAAATGTAGTGAATGGACGTCTCATAGTAGGTTACGTTATACTCGCGGAACATTCGAGAATCACTGATGTCATAATGACATTTTCGTATTAAACCCAGTAGGTATGTATAATAGGAGGCAGTTCCAAACCACATTCAAAAATGGTTATTTTATTTTGTACAGTGTCTATTGCTACAGACCTACAGTAACCTACTGGTGACTGTCCCATTATTTTATTTAAAACACAAGTTTTGTTACATTATCAAAGGCTATTATTACGTATATTGTTATATTAGATAATTATTATTCAAAACTAGACAATAAGGAAGGCCGATATTAATTTACTACTAACGGAGTATTATTTAATCGGCCTATTATCTATAATAATTATACACTCTTCTGGAACAAAAACTATTTACTAGTTATGGCAACATATACCTATGTAGTATAGGTACCCACAAAAATACCTATATTTAAATATTGCCAAACGTTCCTACCGGACAGACAAATATTGTTAATGATGGAGCAGACGAGCGGACATTCGTATGGGCTTTCCCCACATCCTTGTTGCTATCCTCGATAGTTGATTGCAAAACACAGCAGCATTCGTTGCATCCATGGCCTTATTTAATCGCCATCCGCAAATTGGGCAACGCCCCCGACGGTGTGGGTTACGTACCACTGTGCAGTGTGCTTCTTATAGATATTGCCGTAAGCTATAAAGTTACTATGTTGAAATTTTAAAGCTATCAATTTTGACGACTGGAAGGATCAGCGTTTATACGATACTCATTGCAGAGCTCTTATTGAATTGATTTATTATGAGGTACAGGAAGAATGAACGTCGAAAAGAGAGGCGTACTACAGTGCCCGTAATTAAAGTGTGTGAAAAAATACAATTAATTAATAAATCAAAGTTATACCGCAACTATGCACAATGTAGATTACAATGTAAATATTAATTCCTGCTACTGCCTTTCCTGTTTTCAACACATTTTGTTATTATACACCGAGTATACTATACTATATTTACAAGCCTTTTTCCATTGTACTTAGGTGTAATTGTTATTTAGTTCTCACGTCTAAGAAAAATATTGAATGGGTAGATGATGGAAACGAAGGATATTTGCCTCTTACTATTATAACTTCCGAGATTATATTACCTGTATATAGGATTTTTATACTCGAACAGCGTTTGGCCACTATCATACCTGGTGGTAGACGATGATGTAGCCCACGATGTAGCACGCCTATCTGTGGACAACCTATTCACTTGAGACTTGAACACACACAGGTTCTACCTTTCTGGAAACAGATTCAAGCAAGAAATTCCACCTCGTAGCGGTTCGCACATTATCAGTTTCGAGAATCTAACCTGAGACCACTAACTCAATAGTCACGTTAAGGACCACTTAACAAACGAGGTAACCAATATCCTCTAATCGACTCATCAGCGAAATGTTATTCCCTAAATTATTATTTCGCCATTTGACTTACACAATACACACATCGCACCCTGACCCGGAACAAGAATCCTCAGTTACTTTCAGATCATTCAAATCATCAACCCATGACCGAACCATTGCTTCAAACAGCAAGTCATCTAAAACTAAAGCCAACTAATACAACAATATACGAGATTGTCGACATTTAAGTACATAATTCGTAATTTATCTTCGATCAATAATGTCGCTAAGTCACGATCATGCTTGCAGTTGAGTAATGAGTATACCACAATAAGTGCACAGGTTACGGTGTCAATGTATACATACATAGGTACTGTCTCTATTGTAGCCTAACTGTGAGGCAATCTTCAGCTCATCCTTATTGTTCCTAGGTACTTGTAAATAAGTCTATGTTATTGGTACAACACTGAAAAACTAGTACGATGTTATATTTTGTGAACTATGTGTAATGTGATATCAAATACTTTACTCATGAAAGGGATGATATTTTTATATCATTTAGAACTGTAGGACCAAAATAGTAGGCTAGTATAATAAAATAGATGGATAGTCTTTATTTTTTTTTACATACATAACATCACGCCTTTTATCCCCGAAGGGGTAAGCAGAGGTGTACATTATGCCACTGTACAATGTAACACCCACTTTTCACTATTTATGTTATGAGTCCCATGTAATAGGGGGTGAGCCTATTGCCATATACCGGGCACAATTCCAGACTCCGTGCTACTACTGGGAATTTTTTGAAAAACCCAGTAATACTTTGCCCGACCCGGGAATCGAACCCGAGACCCCTTGCCCGGCAGGCGCACTTGCGACCACTCGGCCAATGAGGCAGTCCATATAATCTTTTTTTTTTATAGTCTTTATAATTTCACAGTCCCCTGCGCAAGCGACTGAGAGATTACAGTAGATCAGCTAAAGTCTATGCTCTTGGTAAACAATAATAATCGAGAACTGAGTTAACTTGATTATTATTTAACGTCTTAGAACAAATATGTATATAAAGACCCAAGTAGCCTCATTTATAATAAACTTCATAAATTATGCAATATTTTGTTTTTATCGGAAATCTCAGAAGTCATTCTGGTTTATGTAACCAAATCAGTTTTTATTGAGAGCAGAAATATTTGGACTGAACTCTGTTTTTAAAAACTAAGTTTTTATGTCTATGAATTTAATATACTCGACATTCATGACGGTACATAATACGATATATTTATTTTAATGTAAATGTTATACGTATGTTTAAACATAGCTTACAAATTCGATACCATAATATTTTTATTTTTATAACAAAAGCAAGAAACACATCTAATTTTTCACAATAAAGAGATAAACAATACAAATACACTTGAATTATTCCGGCATCTTGCCGAATTCGCAAGCTTCTTATGCAAAAAGAGGGGAAGTCAGGTGCGAGCGAGGGTCAACATCATGCAAGCACTTTCGCTTGATCAGTACCCGTACGGAATACGCACGTGGCACACGCATTTATAGCACAACTACAAAAAATTATATAAACTGATAAAAAAATATTTATTTAATAAAATCGACAGTGCTAGCTACTTACATTAGACGTAATCATTCATTGTGATATACTTTCTGTGATTTTGAATTAAAATTTTCATACAAAAAAGTAGTGTATTTTTTGTAAACAAACTGTTGTTTACATTGTATTTATGAAAATTATTAAACATAAAAATGATAACTAGTGCACAGTGGTTAATTTTAGTTGGAATAACTGCGTTACAAATATCAGGTGAGTTAAAAATAAAATATCATTTTTTATAAAATAAGTAAATGAATGCAAGCTAAGACGTAACAACAATAACAAAAGATGATTACTAATTTTAGTACTCATCTAAATACATATAACACAATGTTTATATGCCTTAACAGCTATTTTGGTCAGGGCTATAGTTAATCTTCAAGACTAACCATTAAATCCTTACGTATTAGTCACAAATAAGCACCAATAAAATCCTAAAGACCCTATAATAAAATTAACAAAGGATTCCAAGGCTTTTCTCATAAAAAAGGGCCGTGTATATTAAAACTTTTCAGTAATTTGCCATTGTTTTGACGAGTGGTTTTCAGTGTCTAATAAAAATAGGTTAAATAATAAAACAGAAAGCTAAATTTTTGGATTAAGATCCAAAAATCTTTTAAAAGCAATTTACATTTTGAGTAGATTTCATAATATGAGATTCTGTGAAGAATCATGAAGAACTGCAATACATAATACGAAGGCAATGCACTGCGATGTAACCTACAACTGATAATACACTCATTGCGTAACGACGTTAAGTTTGTTTTGCTGTAACCAGCTGATCAGCTTCCTCGTCCGCGTGCAGATGTAGTGCGGCTCACAAAATGGTGAGATTGTCGCAGTGCTCTTTTTACCTAGTACTAACAAATAGCAATCATTCATATTTTTATTACAAGCAAATATCAACTTATCAAGGGTCATTCCCCAAGTTCCGAAGATGCATAAGAAACCTACTTTTAGATTTAGCAAACAGTTTGTGATTTATCTTTAAGACCATTTTTGTGAAGTTTTATTACAATAACATAATTATAAAATTTTAATTTTCTTATATACACACATATTATATGATGGTTGAATTCGCTATCAAAGATTATTTTTTAATTGTGAACAAAAATCCTAAAGGTTTCCACCATTTCCTATTAGACATGTAATATTTTTTTTCCCTAAACAAACATTTACTCGCACAAATACAACAGATGAATATTCGACAAAAAATTCTAAAACTCGTGAACCGTGCAGCATGAATCGGAGGTGTGTGCTCTTACAATGGCTACTTCCGAAATGTTACTCGACCGACATTCTCGTTGCATAAGATTGCTCACCCACTCTCGCGCTTACTCAATCCGGTTTGTTTGTCACATTACTTTGATAAACGGTGTCACATTCATTTCTTTTTTTATATTCCATTTTGACAAAAATGACATGAATTGTTTATGATTGCGTCTCTGTACTTTTATTATATTCTCATTGTCTGACGAAGTAGGTCATATTTTAATATTTTGTGATATTATGTTTGTACTATGTAAACGTGAACTTATTGACATAGAGGATGCTTTGATGAAATTTAATAGACTGCATTGCATTGCAATTTAGAATTAATTTAATAGGATTTTAAGTTAATTACTAATTAATTGAAACCTGTTCCACCTTAAGTTACCTGCTTAAGTAATTGTAGCTCAGGCTTAACGAATTCGATGAATGTTATTTGATTTAGTACTAATAAAATAATATTTATCATCAGTTAGTGTTATAGGAATGTGCAATCGTAGAGATCTAATCAATGGATTGTTGTTGTAATCGAACAAGTTTATCATTTGCAAGTCCTATGTACATAAACGTTCTTGACATATGACCGGCACCCTGTGAGTTGGTGCATTTACAGCACGATATTTTATGAGCACATGGGTCACAGATGTCTTTGGGTCAAGGTCGTACATTGTAAATGATATATGATTACAGCCGTGGAAATTATATGAAGGCTGTCCATTTTGGATATACGACTTTTAAAGATAACGCGATTGCAACTCGATTTTAAAAGATTACTGTTATTAATCTTTAAAGTTGTTTTAAGACAGGTTGTCTTACTTTTTTCGTTTTACCAAAAAACAAAGAGTAGCTTTGAATGTCTATAAAACATTTTCACAGTTCCATGCGAAATTCGAGACAAATTATTAAAATTATCAAGGATATCTTCTATTCTTTCATAATTATTTTATATCCAATCAAAATCAGAGGTTTGAATTTGGGGAAAATTTTATCAAAACATTATATTGAGTAAGCTTAGATTATAAAACTGTTGCAATATTAAAATAAACCTTTGGTTTGAAAGTAGTTAACTTTGTGAAAAGTGAACAACCTTGAAAGTATCAAGAAGTCATTAATTGATGAACGTTTTAATTTCTTAAGCGATTTCTATAAAATTAACATAGTATCTACATTTTTCAAACACATTTGGCGACCTCAAATTGCGTAATTAATTCTGTGACCATGAAATTTGCCATTTCGCAACATTGATTCATGATTATGTTATAATTATTAAATCATTCTAACTAGTATTTACTTATTTTCATTAACGACCTTACTCGTGAACTGCTATAGTTAATAATAGGTATACCTAATTTAAAGTTGTTTTGGGTGATTAATATTTCAATAGACACTCGATTTAAAACAAAAAATTATTTTGCTAATCGCGAAATGTAGATTCTATTTCTATTCCGGCAAAGTCTATTTATAGCAAGTCAAACAATGTTGTAAATATATTTTTATATCATTATATCGAGGATTAAGACGTTTGGTGTCCCTGTGTCCTGAGAGTCCATAAAATTGTATTATTTCTGTAATAAAAAAGTTAAGACCTCAAATAATTGAAAGCAAAAATATAATTCCTGACTAAAGTAACACGTGTTCACCATCGACATCGAACTAATGTCCACCTCAATCTACCACTAGAAGGTTCAACTTACACGCAATCAGAATAATAAGTAAGGCATTTCAAAACTAGTTAATTCATGCAAACTACCACCGGAATATCTAAACGTGCGGTCCGAAATACCATCGAGACGTGTTATTACCGCAATCTACGGACATGCTAAATATAGGTAAATGGCAAGACATCCTAGCTGCTAATTATGATAATAGAGGTCATTCATGATTAGGCAAGATAAGTGACGATGACCTTAGGATGTAATGTGGATGGGTGTTGTTCTGCAACATCCGATATACGGCGACAAATGTCTATGATGGATGTTGCGAAAGAAATCGTGGATGTTATGACCAGACTTATTACATTAGCCGCAGGTCGACCATGCGTGCATTCCATTTACGCAATTTATTCATCAGCACTAACACTTAACTAATGTTTTGTACTCAGTAAAATTCTCGAACAACCTGTTCAGTAGGGATTGCGACAATGTCATAATTACTTATATGTAAATTATACCGAAAGTTCTACGCGCCCTTCGCTGTCTCTTAACCTCAAGAACTGGAATAACAACCAATACTAGCTATACGTTTAAATAATCCTAAAATTCATAGGGAAATAGGCTCTAATGATATACGGTTAAACAAGAAGATACAATGGTACCTAAGAGTAACCTCTTCCAGACAAACTCAAAAAGAGAGGAGCTACTGTCTACGCTAGCCTAAACAATGCATATCAACAAAATTTTTAGGGCTAGACAAATATGTATGGAATCTTCATACATTTCCAGCTATATATTGACTCAGCTACATATTGTATAAATTCACATGTAATGGAACCAAGAAGCCCCGACTAACATTGTTGCACTCCTTACAAGACACCACATGCCACCAGTGGAAACTAACCTCCTATGCTCCACTAATTGAAGGGAGTTACAGCTAGAGGTTAATTGGTTACACATGAGTCACAGTGCTATAGGTTACAAGCGTTGTGACGCTTTCACTGTTCAATCGATTCACTTGTACTTTCCACGAAGTCATCGAGCCATTGATGTGAACTCGTAATCTAGTTCATTATGATTATGTAATCTGTGGTGCACTTACCTTTCGACAATCGTCGTATTTCTTACTGGCCATGCAGACAGGTTTCGTTGAAAATCAATAAAAAATATATTACGAGCTAGTGAATTGACTATTTATTATAAAAAATAAATTCTCAAGTATGAGCATAACCACGTGTTTATTTTACTATAGGTACTAAAGATTATAGTTTCCTTAATCAGACCCTTGGTAATTACTGTACGGACTTTCTTAAACACCTATTAAGTTAGTACGATTTTGTTAAACTTTAGGTGCTATACCCATTTATACAGACATTGTAGTGTTGTAAGATATACTTTATAAAAATTAAAAAAATATTACAGGGGCCTGCAAGTACACAATCAATGTAAAGCGTTTGACAGCACTATAGTATGTTATTTCATTTTAAATAAGATACAAACAATTACGAATAACGTCGACTATATCAACGTGAAGGTTACTTAAAATAACATAGAATTACTACTCCACAAGGAATTACTGTTATTACATATTTATGAAAACACATACAATTTTTGAACAAGGTAAGTCTGTGACACTTTCCTTCACAAATAAATGTTATTTACTTAATGCGTGATAGTAATGTAGTTCATAGACCCCCTATTTGCCTTCGCAATGTCTTTGAAGGTAATTTGAGTTGCATTCCGCAGTTGTCGTTCGACGATAAGAACGTAATTAGCTTGAAATCGCAACACTTGGCAGGCTAGGTAAAAACTACATTTTGTAATTGTGCTTCACAATATATTATTGCGTAGATTAAGAAAAACGTAGTGCGCATACCAACCGGAACCATGTTACCTACGTGCATGATACTTTCCTGATGTAACTAGTTCTAATGGATGGTTCATAACATTATTAAAAGTATGGAATAGATATCCAGTGTGTCTTTATACTATCCAATCTATATGTCGCGGAGAACCTAACGGGCTACCGGGGTTCCGGCTTGAAGCGCAGGAAAAGGAACAAGGTGGAGTAGTCAGTAAGAGTCTGACACTCCCTCCCGCCTCACCCAGGTGAGAGCAGTCATTCGATGATTTTCCCCCTTAAAAAAAATCTACATGCCAACTAAAGTTTGAATATTAATCGTCATTAATACTCAAACAAAACAGAGAGAGTAAAACGTAACAAGAAAAATGTATCTTTTTTTACAGATTGATCAAATGAATTTATTATAAATTATATTTCTGCTCACTTTCTTTCTTTCTTTATTTGCGCTTATTTATGTAATCTACCTATATATTTATAAAGTACCTACCTATTTATAAATATCGCATCTCTTTCTCTTTATCACTTGATATAACCTACCTTGAATTCTTAACCATTTTTACAAAAATTGCCTTCGTCAGGTTAGAAATTAATATTAATTTTATAGGCTCTAAAAACAAGGTCACACGAATGCTAAAATATTACGTTTACTAAATGTTACCACACAGCCGAAATATTGGCAGATACGTGTCCGGTTTATTGTGATAATAACTATAATTTATATGTTTTCGCTAATTTTTGTTTGCACACTATCATCGTAGTATTCGACGAAGACAAATTCGCCCACTATTAGCCTCTTCTTTCCTCCTAATTTATTTCTAAGACTAATGAAACGAAATGTTAATTGACTAAGCTACTTATATTTTTAAACCTATCTAGTAATCACAGACCAGGCATCATTCTTAGAAGTTAATAAGAAAGCAAACATAACAGTCACAAAAAATAAAACTACGGAACCTTTTCCGACAACCATTAGCGAAACTGTCGACAATTGACGCTTTGTTCTACTCGAAATAACTTAAAACATATTCACGTATTACATAAATCTTTTGTTTTTTTCTCATGACTCAATATAAACACGAAAATAAGCATGAAATTGACACACTATCACAATATGTGACAACGTAAGAAAATGTAAGGAACCATTTTGCGAATTAGAATTGTACGCCACAATCAGACCGTGTCATGCGCCGCGTCTTCGCAAGCAAACGCACTATGTAACGACCTTCAGAAATATGTAATTTTCCTTCACTATTATCAGTAAAAGTATTTTCTTTTTAACGAGAACTGGAAGATGTCATTTTTATATCAATCTTTCTTGTTTAATTGTGAGGAACCGTTTGAGGTACTGGAAAGGAAATAATTTGACTTGTTCTGATGTTATACAGTATTTGAAGTAGATGCTGGCTTGAAGTTATGTAGTCATTTAAAAAACTAAAATACTTCTCTTACAAAACGAATTAATTGATTTATCTTAGTTTTTGGACATAATGAAAAGGCGAGTGACATATTTTTCCCTGAATCACGCGTGGGTGGAAATTTAGTTTTACTTTGTTTATTTGACCAAATATTAATGGTAACATAACATAATGTCCTTTAAAAATATTTCTAAACAAAAACGTTTTTTTTTTCAGTATCTAAGAGTCAAGAGGAGCGCCCTCAAGAGAAGAAGCCGCAGTCAGTTAGAGATCTCCTAAATACAACATCATGTATACAACCGCCATATCGGTGTCCACATCCCAAGATGCAGTTTTATTTATATACCAGGTAATTCAATAAATATCATCTATTTAGGTCAAGCCAATGTCATCTAATAGTATCTATAAGCCAATATACTACCTATAAGTAGGGGTAGTGACATTTTATATTATAATTATATTTAGTCTTCTTTGTCTATGCTTCAACCAACTGCATGTAAGAAGTTTTTATTCCTCATTTTTACGACAGGCCGTGTTTATCAAAATGTGCAAAAAACCATTTACTATAAAAAATATAAATAAAAAAGATAGTATATGGCATCTCAATTTTTTTGCCTAATGGTGGCCAGTTCCATTTGCATTTATAATTTAAAATTCAAAAAGGTTCCTTTAGCTTTTTGTAATGATCGGCCGCAATCGTCAAAATAAAATTTGAAAAGCCATTACCTAAGCAGAAAAAAAAAATAAAAAAAAAATTGTCTAATGGCGTCTAAATTATTTTTACCTGACAATGACCAGTTATATTTAACAAATCGAAAAAGTTTCATAACTAATTTTTAAAATAAAAAAAAAAATGTGTGCCATAAATAAGTATAAAAACAAACATTTTCTCTATAAATAGTATGTTTTGCATATTTCCAGAACAACTCAAGAAAAAGGTGAACTAATAAATACTCTCGACAATGACTCTTTAACGTACTCTAAATTCAACACGAAGCATCCGACGAAGGTTGTAGTGCACGGTTTCGGAGGAGGGCGGAACCTCTCTCCGAGTACTGACATGAGGAAGGCATATTTTACCAGAGGAAACTACAATATCATCATTGTGGACTACGGGTCACTTGTGAAGGAACCCTGCCTTAGTCAGGTTTGTATACTATTCATCTATTCTCATTCATTATCTATTACATTTACAAGGTCTTATACCTGTTGTACGATTTCGGTCTGAAATAAATATATAGCATTTCAGAATCAGTAACTAATTAAGAAGTTTATTAACGTTTTCGTTGGTTTATTTGTAACTCAAATAAAATACTATCATAGTTTGGACCCTATTTGTAGGTGCATGAAGCATTATGTATAGAATGAAGTTAATTAAGTTTTAAAATTAAAATTAACCTACAATACAGGAAATATTGTAAGTGAAGGGGCAGTTCTTAAAGCGGCTCACACTTGTCTTTGAATAATAAATGTCTTTTTTGTTTCGTTACACCCTAGAAATATAAAAGTAGGTCATGCGGTAATAACTAACACTGATAAGAACTTATTTCTTTTTGTTTTAAAGAAGTTGGTTAGTTAGCAAAAACAGTAGTTGCATAATAATGTATTGAAACGAGCCTCTTACGATTAGTCACTGAATACTTAAAACCGTGAAGAGGTAATTTATTATTAACGATTTAGAAATATGAATATTTATGACAGATTATTTTACGTAGCAATTTTTCGATTTCGAAAAAAAGTCAGACGTTTGTATGATAGATGCATGAATTATAATCGAAGCTTGATTTTGTTGCTGTTTAACTAATATTATAACTTCATGGATAAATATTGATTTGTTTTTGGTATTGAATTAATGATATCTGTAATAGAGTTGTACATTAACGGAGAGTCCTACGAACCAAGTAAAACGAGACGTGTCGTGTTGCGATATCATTGATGTGATTTGGTTCATTTGTTCTCACATCATGTAAAAGTACAATTAATACCACAATAATTTGGTCGCTTGTTGGTTTGGTGGCTTTGCCACATTACACTCCGCAAGATTAAATTAGTACAAAACAAATATAAGACAGGAAAATTACGATAGGACATTTTTCTTTTTTTCATAGCAGTGTTAACATTACGCTATGGTTGCGGTACACTTTAAGAACTTGAGATGAAATTTACATAATATGTGGTATTTCTTACAACTTCCAGATTGAGTGGGCTCCTCGATTCGCGAGTCTGTGCATAACTCAGCTGATAGAGTATCTGCAGAACCACCCTGTGAAGTCAGTGCCACCAGAAAAACTCCACACGATCGGCTACAGTGTGGGAGCTCATATACTCGGCCTCGTCGCCAACTATCTACACGAAGGGAAACTTGGCAGAATTACTGGTAACTTTACAATTCCGTACAATTTAATATGTTTTTTGTTATTTTACAAAAGTTCCGTAACTCAGACTTAAAGAACGAATCCATAAACATTTTTCTTCGGAAGTTAAATACGGAAATAATATTAACTTATATAAAATACCCAGTAGGTGCGATCACTAAAATAAGTATTTAAGTAAGGGCTTATTTACATCACGAGTAACTTTAAAAGGGATTGTTTGACATTGAAACTACAAGTTAAGTATTTTTCCACCACTACACATACTACTTTTACTTCGTTTCTCTGATCCATGTAAAATACCTGTTTGGTTTTGAACTTTGGTGTAGAAAAACAAATAATTACTATAAATAAATAAATTACTATAAAAAATACCTTTAGCAGCTTTTGCATACTAAACTTTATTTAGTAGGTATTACAGTCCATAATTATACGTAGGTCTACTAATATATTACTTAACTGGCAAAATGAATCTAATACCATTTACTTCTACAGTGCTTGAGAAAACGTGACGAATATTAGCGTCGTAATATAACAAAAAAGTACTTTATAAATCTCATTATAACTCTCCAGGTCTGGACCCGACTATATTCTTCTACATGGGGTCCAATCGCTCCCGAGACCTCGACTACACAGACGCTCACTTTGTGGACATCCTGCACACGGGCGCCGGTATCCTCGGCCAGTGGGGCCCTAATGGACACGCAGACTTCTACGTAAATGGAGGTTCTAGCCAACCTGGATGTGCACATGACACTATTTTCCGTAAGTATCTTTTCTTTTTATAACAAGACTAGGTACCTACATAATAACCAATATATATTATTAAATTAAAACAATAAAATTAAAAATCACTACATTTCAAATGGATCTGTTCTCAGTTTGCCAGTTAATGTAATGTATGAATAATACCTATATACTTATTTCTGTTCCATATTTACTACAAGTGAATGAATTATATTTTTTCGCGTTTTTGAGTTGTCATACGTAGGTGGATAAAGCCTTTTAAAGGAATGTAGGCGGCCACATACAATTATTAATTGACTTACTTTTATTTGCTTTCTTTCTTGCGCATATTACTTATTCCCACGCACCTGCCCTTTCTGTGACAGTAATGAAGTTAATATAATAAAATGTCTTTCTTATACGTCTACTGCGATTTATTTATCTCCATATGAATCATAAGATTTTATTCGTAGTAATCAATTGCATTGAATTCATAATCCATTCCAAAATAATCAACGCATAAACATACATGGAACCCTCTTTGGTGTGCGCATAGAACTATTTACTTCATAACCGTTCAGTCGAAGCACCCCTCTGTTTTGTGTAGTTTTAAAACCGCATTAGTTCCGGGAATGATCAGAAGATGTCGCTTAAAACAGTGACTACAGCGCTCTCTACTAACTTAGTTATTCAGTTCATTAGTTCCACTGCTGTGTAACAGATGGCGCCCTCTGGATTGTGAATTGTAATATTTTGATTTTTATTTTAAATATTTTATCTCTCTTTGCAGAAACTCTTTCGTGTGATCATACAAAAGTGACTCCGTACTTCATAGAGTCTATCAACAGTCGTGCCGGATTCTGGGCGGGACCATGTTCCAGTTTATTCTCTTACCTCATCGGGTGGTGTGAGCCTAAGGACACGGAATACGTGCTCATGGGTGAACACGTTACTCACAAGTAAGTGCTCAGATTTGGAGTAAATCGGTCGGCAATTACGTCATAACGTAGGTTCTGTACAGTAGTACCAGTCGAATGAATTCATAGATTTTTGCCTCAATTTAGAATATATTATTTAACTTTGATCTTTATTTTTATTGCGTTTATTCGTTCTATTTTTAATATGCTAGAATATAGTTACAGTACCTACACAAATGACTTGACGGCTAATATTGTGGATAGGGTCATATATTCAAACCACATTAATTATTATTTTTATTTAATTGCAGCGCTCGAGGTGTCTACTATGTCACTACAAACGCTAAGCCACCATACGCCAGAGGGTTCCCGGGCAAGTCTAGAAGACTTCGCTCCATCACCCCTTACAGCTGATGAATTGAATGGAAAACTAGGAAAATGAAACCTTACCAAAATATTTAATAAAATTAAGTACTTAGCTAAGTTATTTTTATCGGGGCTCAATAAAGTTTAGGAATTGTGGCGTGGGGTGAATAGAGAACAACAGTATCATTTATAAATGGTACTAAAAAGATTTTTTTAAATAAATTTTAATAATATTAAATAAAAAATGTATGTCAGATGTTTTACAGCCACTTTTAGGGTTAAATTATGCTCGCCAACCTAGTTGAATGTATAAAATATCTTTGAATATATTAAAATCGACAATATGGTTCGTTATCGTACAAAAAGGACCGTATCTGTAAAATATAAACATGCCAGAAATATAACATTAATACTTTAGAATGAAGTGAATATTAATCTTAAGTAGTCACTTATTCCATAACACGATTCTCAATCCACCCCATTCCACTATAATTCATATAAAAATATTGCTGATAGGTAAGTTAATTCATTGAAATGTATTAAATTAAAAAAGGTTTTAGTGCAATTGCAAGCAAAACTCAATGCTTTGCGATTAAATAATAAACTTCTTTATATTAATTCAGTGTCATTGACGTGGGAAATGCGCAAGTCAGTAGTCAATTACTAAATTAGGTGGAAGAAAAGTGTGTTTCATGGTATAACTAGTACTTGAAACAGCTTAAAATAGTCTTTAATTTTGAAAAATTTCGCCGAATCAATCAATTCGAAAATGGTGAAATATTTTCAACTATGCTTTTATGTTTTAGGTACTTGCCTAACTGTTCAGAAAAGTAGCTCGACCAGGTACAGGGATTGGTTGTGGGTTCCTATCGTAGTTTGAAATGGAGCCAGTTACCTCGTCATGGTTTTCAAATGACATTTTCATTAAAATCTACTGATTAGCGTTACTCCCACTGTTGTCGTAGTACATAATTAAGTCATCACCGAATATTGTATCCCTGGATATGATTGTGTAGTTGCTCAAAATGAGTGTTAATTTATTTGATATTTAAGAAATTTGTGATAATACTGTTATATAGAATTAAACATGGATTTCAAAGGGATAATAATTGCTTTTTATTTTCTAAATATTTGTTTCGTAAATTTTTCTAGTGACCCTATCATATTGAAGTTATTTATTATGTGGTTTAAATGGTAATAAAACAACTGTAAATAAATTTAAAACATATATTAGGGAAGATAATGTTACCATTTTGAATCGACAAATGGATACAATTTTAACATCAAGCACATTTAATAGAAATAGATGCGTTATATTCTACTGAACTATGACAAATATAAATCTATGTAACAAATATAATTACGACTGAATGGAATTAGTCGTTCAAATGAGATCAATTTTTTTCTGAGATCATGACACGTAAATAATTCAGTTCTAGTAAAATGACGACAGATTTTAATATCATTTTTAATATATGTAATTAAGTATACGTAATTAACTACAAACGAAAACTGTAATTTCATTTATTTAGACAAAGAATCGACTTTATTTTCATTTACATAAGACTCTAAATGTAACTACACTTTCAAAACAACCCGTAATCAGTACTTTCAAGGAACATTACCTAAAACAGGAATGACAGACAGAGACATACAGATTATAAATATTTACATTTTACCCTTACATCACTATCAAAATTTTCAACAATAAAATGTTAATGTCATAATTTTAAAACCAGTTTTTATTTAAATTTCCCAACTAACCACATTGAAATTAAATATATTTTACGAATATTGAATAATTGAAAAATAACACTGGAAACTATACAATTAGGCAAATATGTATAATTCTATAATTTATATAATTATCTAATCACATCAGAGTATAATAAGAATCGTTGTATCATAGGAGTTGTTTAACTACACATTGCCCTTCCTTCGAAATTTTGCTGTTCTTTCATTTCAGTAACGACATAGATTTAAAAAATAAAACAAATATAACTCATTTGCAACGCTATTACGCATGAAATAAAGGCATTTTTCGCATACATCCACGTATTTATATATTGAGATACCGTCATAACAATTTGTGTTTTTTATATTTGATGGAACTCGCGTCGTGTCGACAAAGTACTGTCGGGGATATATATGGAGTACCATTGAATGACGTCACTATTTGTTCTCTATAGAGTTCTATAGAGACATGATTCTCATGCAAACTGTTTGAATATCCATCAGTTTTCGCATAGTATTTGTTCTGAGTAGTCAAGTTAGCCAGATCTGGGTATGTATTATTTATTTATTGTTAAGTTTATTTATATAAATATTCACTATTGTTTAAGGATCTCACTTTATACACCTACATTAATAGCAGCAATTACACTGCATGAATATTAATTTTATTTATTTGCACTCTTGTCTACGCTGAGTGGAAACGCGTTAATACGCTTATTTATCACTTTTTATGTTTAATCTTTGGGCATCATTTAATTTTGGAATGCATACTCTCTAATGTGATTTGTGATTTTTCATTGAGAGTGTTAAGATTTTAAAATTTAAGTAAATAAGAATTTGAAAAGAATGAAGAATTTAACTTTTAGTGTTAAGGGTTAAACGTAATAATATTTACTTTTTTATATTCTATGGCATTATTTACACACTATATCGATAATAGGCCAGATTGAAACTGAACTTCTGCTTGCAAGCTTGAACTTACTCATTTATTATAAAAAATTGAACATTCTATGCAGTGCCGGATGCTACCAAACTGAATAACTTACCTTTTTTATAACTCAGAACTAGACTAAGTAGGTTATAACTCAGTATATAGTATGAGTATATTAAGTAACTTTATACCTAGTTATATTTGTATCCGATAAAATGTTACATTTTCTCTGAGTCTTCTGTAGAAGTCAATTGACTCTTAATTATTGTAATCCGGCACCGAATTTTGTAAACCTAACGTCGACCAAATCATTTATTTATTTAAATAACGCGACATCTAATAGCGAACCTATAGTAATGAGATTAATTATTGCAACTTTACCTAAAATAATTAGTAATAAACAAAAATAAGTAGCAACTTCTATAAAAAGTAGTAGCAACTTCTACACAACAAGTAGCAACTAGTACAAAAATGTAAAAGAAGCGACTCAAAGTATTTACAAAATAATAAGCTTCGTTACTAGCAGGACTTTGAAAGCAAATCCTTAAACATGAGCCTAATCAGTAATTGACTTGTGACAGTGCTTCCGTGCAAGTAATACCTTACCGAACTAATACTAACTATCATACTCAGAAACATTTAATGTTTACTTAAATCATTCCTTACTATTTTGCATGAAAATAATAGATAAGGACTGGGCTAAGTTACCACTAAATGACTCTGAGTACAGTGGTAAGTTGTATAGTCTACCGCCGCCATCTTTAAAACTACCTATGTTACTATAATGAGAGCCTATTTCATAATGTCTTGTTTAAGTTTTTGTTAGTATAACTACCAATTATAAAGAATTTTCTGGACAATTTCTACGTAGTGTTCTGTGTTCTAGACAGATAAGTCAAAATATATGATTGCAGTTATACTAACACGTTAACACACTTCAACATTATGATATATACCCTTTAATTAAATATAGTACCTATATTGAACGTAATTTTGTGTAGATTATACATATACCTATAGCCGCACTATCCAAATAAAATTGTATATCCATAAATGTTCTCAAATATTTCCAACGACAAAGAAATAGTGAAGTGAAAAAGTAATCGTATATTATTATCAATTAAATGTTTGAAAAAAGAAATATGAGATTATACCTCTATTATTATTTTTCTTATTGAAAAGTATATAGTATACCTAAATATATAATTATAATTTACGTGTATATAGTATTGTCTTAGGTACTTAATATTATTTACAGCTAAGGTTCGCTTTATCAAGCTTTATTGTCACCACAGCCTTACAGAGTGAGATCACCCCATTTTAAAATTATTGTCTTACCATAAGCCTTATTTCAAATCTTAAATTATCGTTATTGTACTTTTTGCTAGCCTAATCTAATATTATAAAATAAATAATTTAAAATGTACATAATTACTAAAGTCGATCGCAGAAATAATCAAATAATCGTTAAAACAGAAGTTACCGAAAATCTTTGTTGTAGTACCTATGCAATAAATATTAAAGTATTCAATAAAGTTTATTTTCATGTAAAAAGAACTGATATTAGATAAAATATTTTCAAATCAATAGAATATACATGCGAAACATATATAGATAAGTTTAATCTAAATGTCTAATATAATATTGTCGATCACAAACTTTGTTTAGTGCGCGTATCAACAAGTGCGTGGGGGACCTGATACCCTTTCCGCCATTGCTTTGGACATTGTGAAAATTATCATTAGAAATATATAATCTACAGGTATGTATGTACAACTTGTCTTTTCAAACATTCTTAGAATATTCTATGCACATTCCCCGGCCAACGTACTTTAAATTAACTAAGAGATATCTCTGCGTGTCGAGTACAAAAATACGTACTAAAGTATTCAAAACATTAAAACCGTATAGGTGACTATAAGTATGGTAGTACTATCAGTAAATTGATATGGGATTACACTTTTTGATTTGATAAAGTGCCTAAATTAAGACACAGTTAAGTAACAACCAAATACATATTTAAGAGTCGACCGCCTGTTGAACCTTTCTCTGTATTTTAACATTCCATTCGACTATGAACCATTTTAACTGATCATATCGCTAACATAACAGTAGAAGATTTATTTATAAATAGATACAAATCACTACACACTCAAGTAATATCCTTTCAAAGTTAGTCAAAGTATTTTTACATCACAGAATTGACGGCGTAGAGATTATTTAAAACAACGACTTTGCTTTATTCTATATAACTAAGACTATCATTTTAATGCATTTAAAAATATTTCAAATGAAATAATCTGATACGAAAATAAATTCAAAATGTTTTATTTTGTTATGATTTTTTTGTTCGGATGTGTCTTTTGTTTCCTAAAATATTTAAAAAACCTTTTTTTAGTTTACATACCGATGAAAGTGATATTAATGCTCTACGATGTATGTTGTTAATATAGAACAAAAAATGTTGTTAATATTGAAAGTATTTATTCGTTATTTACTAGAAACAATGCTTTAATTAATAGAACTGAAGGTATGAATCAGATCCGAGATGATAATTCTCACCCATGTCCAACGAACTAATTCTCCTAACTAAACTCCTACGCGAATGTATCTACAGTAGCTTGAATACATGAGTCGTCGCTGATGCTTTTCTCCTCTATATTTACAAAGTTATATTATTTATACGACATAGCATAGTTTATTATTTATACGACTAATACATTGCTTACTTGACTTTATGTTTTACTACTTCCAATATATATAAGTAAATATATTATTTGAGTTACTTGAAATATAATGGGATTTAGCAAGCTAGTCGGTTACTACACTCTGCAAAATTAATACGATTTAGCTGCAAGGTTTTTAGCAAAATGTTCACTGTAAATTGTTCAAGTAAATAAATATGTCTGCGACTCTACGTATGGTCGTTATTTTCATTTTAAATTATGATTAATCAATTATCGATAATACCTGTACATACTTTTGTTTACTATTCCAATTTCATTTCATTTATAATACTAAAGAAAAAATATATCCCACTTGGCTTGACCGTACCGCCACATGCTTCTTAACCGTTCTTAATTGTTTAAAAAATATCTTTATGAGATAAATAGATTAAAATAAATAAAAATATATTGACTTCGCCTTATCCGTTAAGTGCACATTATAACGAGTGATCTTTGGTCTCAGACACCTACAGTCAGATTTATTGTCTCGAGTCAATCTTTGCTTTTGAGTTAGAATATTGTCCAGCGTAATATATATAATACATATAATAATTATTGTAGGATAAATTATTGTCCTAAATCACTTATAATTAAAACTAACGTAACTAAAATGGATTGTGCAGTGAGCAGCGAGATTAATATAAATAATTTATTCTATATATATAAACTATATTTGTTTGTCTGCGTGTCTGTTTGTCTGTCGGTCATAATGCTATTCTAACTTATATACTAGCGCGATGTTATTGCGCTTTATTTACTTGCACGTGAATCTATACTATATCCTTATTATCCTTCCATTGTCCTAACATGAGCTGTATACACGCTTTTAAATGAGATTTCATTTTTACTTAACTATATATCTACTAATTTATATTAACACTACTTATTTTATGTTATATGTCCTTAATTTATAATGTAGGTTATGTTATGTAGTTAAATATTTATAAATAAAAATAAATAATACACAATATATGCCTAGACCCATACCTAAAAGTTTAAAAATATCTAAAAGGAAGATTGAAAAAAAAATTGATTAAGACATTATTAAAAAGAAATAGGTATCAGACGAAGAAATTGTGGTGAAATAAATATTCAGTAGCTTTCTACAACTTACCTTCAAATTATTAGCTATAGTCTACAAATAAGAAGAGCTGCATGCTTGTCTATTCTTGTAATAATAAGTACATACTCGTAATGTCTAACATATTATCACATTATTATTATGTGGGTATACGCTTACACCTAACTACCTATTTAAATAATATACAATTAATTATTTATTTTTGTATTTTTTCATATTTTTTTAACAGATATATTGCTTGGAAATCAAATAATTACACTAACATCAAGCCATACATATTTTTATTCAAATATTTCCTTCATTCGATGCTAGCTCCAATATATATTTATGTATATAGATATTATAGGTACAAACACGTTTCATTAAAAATGCATGGATACACGTTTAAATACCAATATTTTCATGCGCTATATTTCAGGAAGGGAAATGTGTTTCAAACAACCGGCCTAATTCTTCAATCCCCATTGAAAGAAATTAAAAGTAAAAATAATTATATTAACTTCCATTCTATTTGTTTTGTAATCACTAATTAATATTTACACGTGGAAAACTAACATACAAAGTAACAAAAACATTAATAAATCCAACGACTAGTTTGCAATCACAACATAATTAATGCAAAATTATAGATAATATCACAATAAAAATATCAACAAGAATGATTACATTTCTTCCCTTTATAGTATTAACATTTTATTTCAATGTCTACTCCTATGATACATAATTATACATTTACGCATCCAATTAAATAGGTACAATTCTAAATTTGAACAATTTAATTATTTCGTAAATATTTATAAACATTTTACAACAGTTTTATGAAACTTAGATAACAAGGACTAGAAATGTTATAGTAACCATAATTTATTAAGTACGATATCATGGCGCGAAACTAAGTGTAAGTTGATTACTAAGCTAAACCATTCAGTAACAAAGTTAAATATGTCTACTGTGATATGCCAATATAAGGTATATACACCTGTACACGTACAAATGTAAATCAAACAGGTACATGAGTGGATGCAGGTAGACGTAAACTGAAGCGAGACATGTAGTGAGAAGCTCAGAGTTGTAACAACTTTATAATTATGTAACAGAAACACCAAGACTTTATTTTGTTAAAACAAACCAATTTACGCCTAAACGCTAAACGACGCATTTAACATACAAGCTAACAATGAGAACCATTTATTATACTGTTCCTATAAAAATATGAGCCGCACGACGAGTCGCTATCCCGGGAACTGATGACACAATAATTATTAAGTATTATAATTTATTTACCTATTACCATTAATATGAGAGATTACTCTGTTATTGGACCAACAAATCTACATTCCATCTACTTTTATAAAGCGATTCATATTCAAGAGATTCGGCTATAATCTTAAGTTCAGTAATTAATAATTTTTCAGGATTTCATAAAATTTTGCCAAATTTATAAAGTGTTGTAGGTCGCCATATAAAAGTAAGAGTGAAATAAAAGATGTGTTGTCCAACAAAATTGGATCTCTACTCAACATAGTGTTGTTCTTGTGCGGTAGGTCCATCGTAGTAGTCGTGCGCTGGTGGCTGGATGGGTTCAGCTTGGTATAGCGCACCCGACACGAAGGGGTTGTTGGGTACATGCGCTCCAGGCGCCGGGGGTCGCGGAGGCGCTATTGCTCCATACCCAGCTTGATCAGAACCCTTCAAAGGCGCTGATGGTTTCTCCGTCTTGGAGGAAAAAATATCGTAAGCAATCTTTCCGAATCCTTACAACATAATAAACAGGTAAACTAGAAATACTTACGAATGTTGTTTCATGGTCTAAGGATTTCATGGCCTGTGGCTCGTCCACAGCAGTCTCCGCCCATGGTTGCAACTCTCCTGATGCGAAGATTGCGTATATGGTAATGCCGACGAAGTGAACGGTGGCACCCATCAGGAATACTGCACGCCACTCGGTTATGGCTTTTTCCAGTTGATTCTTTAGCAATAAGTTATGTTTAGTGTGAGTGAAGCCTTGATTAATACATGTTTTTCTTATAAGCTACAAGCTTAGGTTAGGTAAGATTGATGTAAGTGTAAGCCTGTTATTCGATTTCAAATGTACAACACAACAATATTAGTTACACTCGGAGAACTGACGAGATATTCAAAGTTTGAGAGTGGCATATCTGTAACAAATATCTGCTAAGTTGGCATACAATGCAATCAGTCGTGCGCGATGTAGCGCGGTGGCGGGCGATAATAAAGTGCTCAGCGATGGAGCCGCGTGACGCATCGTCGCGCACCCACAATCCTACTCATTGTATATTCCGCGCGCGACTCCATGGAGCTCGATTTCCTTTTTTAAATTAGCCACGGACGAATGTCCTTTTTGTTTCGCTAGTTCGCGCCTGAAAGCGATACCGTTCTATTGCATTGGGGGAGGTAGTACCTACTTCTCAAATAAAAATTCAAGAACAGAAAAATATATTTTCTCTTTGAAAACTGATTCGTTTAATAAAACCCCACTTTGAATATACCGCCTTTGACTTAGAGGGAAAAATAAAATTACCTCATTTATTTTATTTGGGTGATACTGTATATTATTCTTGCATTAAGACAAATAAAGTGCTCACCTTTTCTTGCGTCATGTAGTCGATTACTATGGGTACGACAAAACCAGCGATTGTGCCGATGCCGTTGGAGAGCCCCATCAGAATGGAGGCGTACCTTGGAGCGATGTCGAGATGGTTTACGTTGTAGCCTGATATGGCAAAACCACTGCATGCGACGCCTAGGGTCAGTTCTATTGTCGCCACATACTAACAAATAACACAAACACGTATTAATTGAATAGCGTGAGATACTTAAGAATTGTTGTCGCCAATAAAATCTTCTTAATTACCTTGTTATTAGCATAGGCGACGAGTACGAAAAAGAATGCCTCCAGTCCAAATCCTCCGCAGTTGAATAGTTTCCTGACAGTAGTTGTGGACATGATGTTGTTCTTACGCAAGTAATCTGCCATCATGCCGCCAATAGGCACCAGTGACGTCATTATTAAATGCGGGATGGCGCCAACAAACCCAGACTAAAACGAAGACAATAAGTCACTCAAACTTAGTCTAGTTTGTGACGACAAACACTTGTATTATTCGGTTATAGGATGTTACCTCTGTGATCTGCATGTTGAACCTCGTGTTGAAATAGGACGACTGGAATATAACTAGTAAACAGAAGTTCCACGTTCTGCAGAAGTTCGCTACAATAATAGCGTACACCTACAAATTGAATACAATATTTTAATATGTATGTATTTAGGAAAATATAAGAGTTTTGAATGATATTTATACTACAACAAGTTATTAATGAGACTTAATTATGATCTATCTTGTATTTTAATACTCACCGGTGGGGAAGTAGCGAAAGCCTTCCAGGGTGTTGACCAGAAGCCGGGCATGGCAGCCTGAGTGGCAGTGCCGAGTGACTGCTCGATGTACGTCAGCTCTTTGGAGGCGATAGTGGGATGCTTGCTGGGCCTTTCAAATACCAGCCACAGCCATAGTACGTACCTAAACAAAATAATTTGAGTTTGAAATTACATGTACATTACATGTTTATTGACAGATAAGGTTTTGGAAAGTAAGGGAAACTAGGTAATATAATTTAGTAGAAAAGGTTTTTACTTACCAAATAACACCCGACACGCCATAAAAGTAGAATGGCGCCTGCCAGCTGATGTAGTCTGTGAGCAACCCGGACAGTGGCATGCCGATAACAATGCCGGCGTATGTGCCACAGAACGCAAGGGTTGCCAATCGGGAACGCTCCAATGGGGGTGCCCACATGCGCCAGATACCATGGCATGAGGGATACGTCACACCCTACAAACACAAAACGGAGTCAAACAGGAAAAATCTTTTTCTTAAGCACAAATTCTGCAGATTTATACTTTCTTTTGAAAACTGTTACATTTATTGAATCTAATAGAAAAGGTGGATTAAAGAGTTCTATATTATTATATTATGTCAATGGTTCCAATCTTAAAGATTTAATAGGATAGCAATGGCATTGAAGAATCAACTAAGCCGGGATATGCGGAGACGAGCAAATACGTCGCCATGGCAACGAAGGGCCCGGTAATCCTAAAGAGGCTTTGTACTTCGGTAAGCGATGTCGACTATACTCAAGTGCGATTGACGATAGATACCGATCGTTCTGTAGGCAATCATTGAAAATCGTTCCTTTGAAACTGAAATACGAGGTGTCTGCAATAAATACATTTTAAATTCTTTTCTACTCCAAAAATTTTAAATTAAATTCCTATTAGCGATTTAAATTTCCTTCCGTATTTATGTACAAAAAACATGTTATTGCTTTTATAGCCCTACAGGATAAAGATGTAATAAACAAAAAACTTTTCTCACAATCTAGATTTAATTTGTACAAGCCGATTGCCGCGAATAGATCTGAAATATTTGCCGAAGAAATATTTGTCTAAAAAGTGTAACACCATAACAAATACACATTCAATTTCGGAAAAGCACAAAATGGGGGAGTGTTAAAATCCAAACGTGACGAGTGGGGCATCCGACACGATCGTGGGCTTGTAAATTCGAGCATTAGCAATAAGTTTGATCATGCATCGGCACGTACCGAATGTCAAATGTCTAAAATTTTAAACGTGTGACATTTCACTCGTTACATGTTTCCCCATCGCTTCATTACTCAAATTTTATTTATTTAAGCATTTTTGTACTATAGAATCATACTGAATTTTTTTCTTTTTCAAGATAGGTCTTTCCTTATAATATACATTTACTTTACTACAGTCTGCTTTATCAAGTAGGTACCTAGTTCCTCACCTCGACAAATCCTTGAGCTATTTTCAAGATGACAACAGCTGCAGGTCCCACAGACATCGCTCCAGGTATGGCCATGTTGAAAATAGCTGACGTCACAATGGCCGCCCCGAAGATCTTGTTGGCTGGGTACATGGAGGCGAGGAAACCGCCCGGCACTTGAGTGATGAGGTACCCGGCGAAGTACGACGAGTCTATTGAGGACTCCACGCTAACAGTCCATTCGAAAGGAGCTTTGTCTGACGAGTTTTGCTGTTTAAAAAGTAATTCATTTAAAATAGTAGATAAATTCATGGATATAGGTAGGCGATCGCAAATACTAAGCGATCTGCCGGAATGTTACAGTTCAGTTGTTATTTTCAAATCAAATTCAAACCTGATAAACTTACCGACTCGCAGAGAACGATAGTATTGTGACATTGTGTTTATTTCTATGAAATTGGACAACCGGTCAATGAGAATATTAAGTTTACAATCTCCATATGTAAAAAAATATACAGGACACAAAATAATAATATCCCAATTGATTCAAAGTGACTTACGGATTGTTTTTCAGTCATCTTGAGCTTCGCCATGCTCATGTTGCATCGCATGCCGAACATGATGCTGAAGCCGAAGCAGGCGAGCAACGCCACGGTATAACGAGCGCTGAGACACGGACATTCCGCTCGCACGTACTTGTCTGTCAAAAAGCATTCCATCACATTGTCGGCTTTTGTGTAAAAAACGTGAACTATGTGAGCTAGTAGTCAAGGAAACGAAATGTTCAATTTGTTGAACCAAATATCTGCTTTTCGAGTTCGAGTTTACCTAGATAATGTTAAATCATTTCATTTCATAGTGTTAACATTTCATTTTTCATAACATTTTCACAGTGTTATCAAATAGTATACTAGTATACCTATAGGTCGCGGTGGAGGTCGGTCAGGAGATGGTGGTGTTTCCAAATCTTCACCATCGTACATCTGGTCGTAACCCTTCTGATCAACTTGAAAGTTCTCATATTGAGTATTTCTGTAACAAGAAAACAAATATATCATCGTCTATTTCCAATACACGGAAATAAACAAACTGAAAATCAATTAATATGAAACAATATAATGCGGATAAAATCTTCGAGCTCCATCGTAAAATATTGCGTTCATCGAACACAGGCTTATAGACTTTCAATTACTTAGTTTATTCCGCGTTATTTTGCGCTATTTTCTCAGTAATTGAAGCGGATGGGAAGCGACACACCTCGATGGAGAAAATAAAATTAAAAACGTCTGCCTGCTAATAGGGCTGCCAACATGTAGAATCGCACCTGCGAGCGAATCGAAGCTCCCAATGGAAACTAATAAAACACTTCTGCGAGAGGAGAAAATTTATTGCAGTTAAATATTATTAAATCTTAGTAATATTATAAATACAAAGGTTTGTGTTTTTATGTATATTTGTTACTTAATGACATCAAAACAGCTGAAGGATCAGCCAAATCAAAATATATTAGAGGTATGGTTTAGAATAACATATAGGCCACATTTTATTCCGCGGTAACGGGAGTGAAACTACTGATACAACTAGTATTAACTAAGATGAGCATGATAACTAAAAGCGTTTTAATTAAGAACAGAAAGATTATTAAAGACTACAGGATTTTATTGAAATCTTTGACAAAAGGAAAGTCTGAAAGTTCTACAAAACTTGCGCAACTTCGCTTCATGTCAGAGATTCTTCAGTTTCTATTGAACAGTGCAGTACAGTAAATAGAGTGCTGCATTAAATCAGGAGGCCGCACAACTTTTATCTCTATTGAAATTGTTTTATATTCTTCCACAGACCACGATATAAAAAAGGACACTAGATGTAATGTGAGACTTTTTTGTTAACTCGAGAAGATTAAATACGTCTGAAACTAATATTTTCCATAAAATCGGAAAGTTATCAAAAAGTTTTAGTTTGTAACCTTGCACAACCAAACCTTGAATTGATATGAATAAAAAAATGCTTGAAATTTTAGTACCAAAGTATTCTGTTCCCTCCATGCAAAGTTTCCATTCCCGAGTACAATATGAGCGGAGATTTTACCTATGAGCCCTCAACCGGCACGGCTTGCCCATTAGTGGGCAAATTGAATTATCCGCCATTGACGTCGCGTCGCGATTCATTGTTTGCAAGCTGATAGGCTCGACTTTCGAAGGCTCAATTATGGGGATTTTAACAATAAAGCTTTGTTTTTAATTATTACCCACGTATTTGTGTTAAATTCTCACTAATGTAATTTTACATTATAGATTGTGTCGTTATTGTAGAAAACAATAAATGTATAGTGTACAATATAAACTTCCACCATATTTTCTCTAATCTCAATTCCATTTAACATGACTCTTCCTAACACGGAAGTTTAAAACGCTACGCCGACAACAAAATTCAAAAGCCATTAAATGTACCGAGTAGCGATGAATATAACGACTTGTGGGCGACAACGGCAGTGCGTAAGTCATCGGCGTGTAAATTCATTTTTCCGCTGACAAAAGTAATAATTGTGGCTATCTGTCCCCGTCCCCCGTTTAACGTTGTTGGTAATGAATCGTCGCATAAAAGGCATAACCAAGTGGAAACGAGCCGCGATGTTTCCCGAGCCGGCCGCCTGCCGCCCGCCGGCCGCCTGCCGCCCGCCGGCCGCCCGCCGCCGCCTGGCCACCGCCACGCTGCCATCACGCCAATCTCCCCGCGTTAATACGTTTAGCAGTGACTGGACGAGATGCCGACGTCAACAGTTACATTAGACCGACACATCTGCAGCCATGTCGTGCTAATTACGCAATTATGTGATTAAACCAAGGGTGAATAAGTGGTTTAGTCAGTGAATGTTTTAAAAGCTTATACAAAAAATGTTTTGTACACATAATTTTTTCAGTTATCATTTTCTTGAATAAACATTTGATAACTATTTAAGAAATATAGTTTCAACTATGCGTATACCTTGAGAATGTCTCGTGTTATCGTATTGATATAAAATAGTATTTAAGAACAGACAAAAATCAAAACACGTAGTTTGTAAAGTGTCTATCCATTACTAAAGAAAAATAATAACATGTTACGCAAAGAATAAAAATATGTGATTATAATATCTATAGCCGTACTACAATGACCCAGTACATCAGCCCCTTGGTAGCGTCGCGCGTCGGCGGCGCTTCATTGTACCGCTAATGCACCCCATACACTGTCTCTATAATTATGTGACGCAACTCTAAATGGTGTAATTACTGTTTTGTCCCCGTTTGCCTACGTAAACTTAATGGATACAGTCATTTTCAAATTTAAACATGATTTTTGATTCTAGAACAGATAAAAGGGTAAATGCAGGTTTTGATTACGGTTTGTGATTTAGTTAAAGATGAAGAAAAATATATTTATATATTCATCGTAAATGGCAGATTATACATTATGCACTATTGGTTGAATTCCAGTAGCGGAACAGTTTCGAGAAATAGCGGTTCAAAGTACAAATTGAGTCAGTGACCGAGTATGGAACTCGGACAGAGATTCACTTGCCAGTTAAACTTCTAAGCCAACTTTGTCATTTGGCAGTCCGACGCTACGTTCTTGCTGTTGGCTGAAATCCTGAATTATTACTAAAAAGGGTTAACCTTTTGTGTGTCCTTTTCAATGAATAGCTTTTAGGTGCTCCGTAAAATTTATCGGCCTTTATTTTACTTGACAAAAATGTGTATTATAAAGTGTGAGGTTACCTACTTGAATCTCTCGTGTTCATAAATTGTAAATAGCAATAAAATAACGTCGGGCATATAGGTTTCTCGAGTTTTCGAAGACAGAACTCCTGGATCAGACGTGAAGAGCAGGGGGAAGACTAGGAGGTGGGGAGTGGGTCGTTGCGTAGATCACAATATGCACTTGAACATTCCCCACTATGAATATCTACAGAGGGCAGGGTGGGACGCGAAGATTTCTTAATTAATTAAGGCTTGAGAGTGCCTGTTTAATTAACGCGAAATATCGTTTACTATTGGAAGAGACAGCAAATTGTCCCGAGTAATTAAACGGTTCACAAATAGATAGCGAATCCAAATCATTTATTCAAAATCAATCAAAATATAAATTTATTGGTACTAATTTCTAAAATGTATTTGTAACATAATTATTAGTTGGCAGCAATGTTTTCTTTTAACGTTACGCGTATCAATATAAATATAAGTTGCTCGACGCCGGCCCTGCACCGCGCGCGTGAGGGGGCTGCTATTACACCCCGTAAAGCCACCCTCTCTAATTGATTTACAATTGTCGGTTAAATTTGTTTCCCGACCACCCTCTGTGATCACTGATCGCAAATGCATTTCAAGATACCATTGAACAGTAAAAACCGAGAAACGTTAATATATTTAGAAACATGAACTTAAAAAAAAATATCATTTTAAAAGTCTATTTAGCTTATATTCCAATATACCACGAAGTTTATCTCGGTGATGCAGACAAAGCTGCTAGTGTAAATCAGTATTCTATTATTTATTTTGTTACACCCGATGCTACGAATCTTCGTAGCACTGCTACGACACCGTAGCCACAATTTGTGCAAAGCTACAAAGTATTCAAGCAAAAGTAATGAGATATTAGAGTAACGCGATGAACTAGTTTGTAGGGCAGCCTGTCAACGATCCGAAACAGCGGCCAGATGGTGAATAAAACATGTAATAAATAAATGTAACCAATGTAACGTAACGACCTATTACAGCTACTCGCACTTCGGTACCTCTACGCATTTATTGAATGGGATCTAACAAACTTTACTGCATTAAGTACTAGTGGTTGTAATTTTTTTTAAATATATTTCTCTTAATCATATCAACTTTAAAATAAATTAGAAGGAAACCATGATTTGTGTAAAGATCTTATCTAATCCAGTACAAAAATGTAGGTGTTTATACATTATACTATCCAAATTTTACTACACACGCTTGTTGACTAGTAAACGTATTCATCACAGCTAGCTTTTTGCGTAAATGTCTATAAATAAATCAAGTGAATGATCTCGCATTTCGACACTCGCGAACATAATAGAGTTATGACAAAAATGGCGAGCCGAGCTAAGAAATATCACTTGGTAAACCCGAGACGCTTGTTAGCGTCTCCTTGCTTTTATTTATGGCCAGATTTATTTTATGGCCGTTCATGGATCGCGGGGAAATCGAATGAAAAGAGATAGCAGCAAATAAAACAATAATTTCATCGATTTGCGACGCCGAGCTCAATGTTCGGAAAAGTTACTACTCCAAGAAGTTTAACCAGAGTCCGCGACTCTTTGATCTCAAGTTTTTACTTTGTACTTATTACGTATTCATTCACAATTATTCTTGTTAAATGCTTTGTGTAATCAATAACACACTATCGGTAGAGCAAATGATATGCATTATAATATACTCATTTCATTTTATTCGTATCCGCCTGATTTTCGAGTAATAAAATCGCTACAAAATAAGCTAGTCTGATGAACGTGCTCCAGTGATATTTTCTATTTCAAATACAAATTTTATTTTCTCGCAACTCGCAGCGTACAACAAATATCATAAAAATGGAAGGCAAACAAGACAGCTCGTTGTATTTGCTGATATTCGTATTTGGCTGGTAGATTCTTACTCTCTTTGCTGGGGCCTAATCTGTCGGGCGGCTCGTACCTCACGTCCGGGATACGCCTCTGTTGTTTCTTGATTTTTCCGTCCATTTCAATGTTTTTTATCATTTTGTTAATGTAGACTAATGTAGCGTTCTAGATATTTTTGTTAGGCTTAGAACAAACAAATTATTTAATTTGGTTATAAATACTTATAAATGATTATAATAATGTACGCTACAACATTATTCGCCTTCAAAAGAACAAGTAATACCAACAACAGTAATACAACGTGTTCAAATAAAATATGTAAAACAAGAAAGGGTCCAGCTATAACGCTCACAGCGGTATCAACTGTAAACGTTATACGACGAGGTACAAGCCTGTAAATAAATTGAAGTGA